AGGAGGGTAGAGAGAATAGTGCAACAATGAATGAGTGGAAGCCCAAAATCTCTGTAAATGTTTATGAAAATTAATAAAATATAATTATAGAAGAGAAAAAAAAGAAAAAATTAGCCCTGGCCCAAAACTCAACAAGGCCAGGAGGATGCATATGTATGGAATTCCTTTCCTGGGGAAAGAACCTGGGGTCACCATACTTCATCTGACTCATCAGAAAGAACATACTAAATGAAGTGGAGAGAAGGTGATGAGAAGCAAAAATAGTAACTTCCTAGAATTTCTGCTAGTCCCCTTTGGAGCTGGGGCCTCTGCAGAAGCCTCTCAGTTTCATCAAACTCCACCTCTGTCCCCATCCCAAAAGCACCCTGATTATCAGCATTTCCCTGCTTCTAAAATCCACTTTGTATTATCATCTACCTTTGCCCCACTCCCTATATCTGGGACATCTCTGTCCTTCCCCCTCCTTGCAGACTCAGGTCTAATAGCACCATCCCTGGGCCTGAAGTCACTGTGAATTCATCCCTGAGGCAGGCAGGACCCTGTGCTTTATAACCCAGCTTTATTCTCTAATCTTGGAATACCTGGGTGATAGAAATGGCTCAAATATTCAGATACTAACAGAAAAGAGATTCAAGTCTATCCAAGGTACTTCAGAAGAAAGATTGATGTAAAAAAAAAATCAGCAATTGAAAACCCTACATGGTGCAATTCTACTCTGACATACACATGGTAGTTCTAATTTGGGACTAATGTCAAGGCAACCAGTTTCTCTCCCAATTTTAGTCTGTCTACAGTCTATACTATATGGCTTTTTTGGGTGGTCCCTTGCCCTTGCTACACTACTGTCCATGGGCTCCTGGTAGAAAATGTGAACAATCTCCCCACCAGCACCCTGTCCTCAGCATGCAGCACCTGTGCACACACCATGGGCTCTAGGAAAGCATAGCCAAGGCTTGCTCGTCACCAACTACCACCCAGGCCCCAAGCTGGGCTGTAGTAAAAATGCTTTTCTCTTTTTGCTTAGGCCTCTGTAGACCAGGTTTAGGGAGCGCTTGACGAAGTCATAAAGAGGCCACCAGGAGGAGGAAGAGCCACGAGCAGCCTCCTGGAAGCTGTACAGAGGCCACTCTCTTCTCAGGACCCTGCTGATGTAGGTAATCACTGACAAGAGAGGATGTCCAAGAGACTTCTCAACATAGAATGCCTTAAATATATAAACATTTGCATGCACGCGCGCGTGCACACACACATCCCTTCACGTATAGCCAGGTATCAGACCAAGTACTCAAGAGAATGCCTTAAATATATAAACATATATAAGTATATAAACAAATATATAAACATGTACAAACACAGAGATCCCTTCAAGTAGAACCAGGTATCAGAACAAACGGAGAAGCATAATTATTCAAAACAAGAGGGGAGAGGGGCCACAAAAGCTTCTGCTCCAGGCCCACAAGCCAGGCCGTTTCCTCTCCTTTTACATCAGCTCTGTCCAGGGACCCAACAAAAACAGCTGTGTACACTTGGGGGCTGACCAACAGCACAATGACAAACAGAGCATAAATTAAGAGTATAAATTAAGGAGAGACGCAGAGGCTCACCTCCTCTGGCATCAATCCTCTGGGGACATGTCTGAACCGTGCTACTGACCCCTGCCAGAAACCAGAAGGTGACCATCCAGCAGAGATGGCCATCAATCCCCCTGGCAGCCCAGTGGAGTGAGAGCTGAGGGGAACATGGGACCTGGTCACCAACCTTGAGTCTCCTCGCACTTGCAGCCCACTGAGAGCCCACTACTATCAAACCAATTCCAATTCTTGACACCCCTGCATGACAGGCTAGAACTCTCTAGAGCTTCTAAGGCTGTAAACCCTAACAGAAGCAGTCAGCCATGGCTTTTTCCCACAGAATGCTGGCAGACTTGAACCACTGCCTTTCTGGTTAGTAGCCAAGCACTTAACTACCACTCTGCCAGGGCGCCTTAAATAACCCTCTCAAAACACACTGTCTTTGAGTTAGAACTCACTCATGACTGACCCTCCAGAGGTTTTTCAAAGGCTGGAAACTACACAAGAACAGATCGCCCATTTTTCTCCTGTGGAGCTGCTGGTGGATTCGAACTGGCAGAGAGGTGTTACCTCTGGCTTGGCAGTGCAACTCCCTACCCATTAGGCCACCTAAATAAGTCTGTTGTTGCAACCCACAGCTGACCCTCCAGAGGCAGTTAAACACATGAGAGGAGACTGCCCATACTTCTCCCTCAGAACAGCTGGTGGATTCGAACCATGTGCTTTTAGGATTGCAGCATAGCTTCTTACCACTAGGCCACCAGAGCTCCTTGAGCAATACGCCTGCTGTTGTGTACTGTCCAGTCAGAACCGACCCATAGCTGACCCTCTGGTGGGTTTTCAGAGGCAGTTAATCACACAGGAGGAGACTGCCCTTCTTACTCTTGAACAGCAGCTGGTGGATTTGAATTGTGTGTCTTTGGGATCATAGCACAGTTCCTTGCCACTAGGCTACCAGAGCTCTCTAAGCAATAAGCCTAATATATTCCGTCAAGTTACTAATCATCATGTTGGACATCTCCCCTGAAGACTCCTGAGATCCCAGCAGGACCCCTACATCAATGAGCATTTCTCCCCATGCCCGACCCTGCACACAGCCTAGTACCCTCCACAGGGAGGGTCAGCTTACCAGTCCCTCAGTGTCCTCTGTCGTCCTCTGAAAATGTGCAGCCAGGGCGATGTAGTCCTGCATCTGCTTGTGACACTGAAGACACTTAAGTGCGTACCGGATGAGCCTCACGGGGTCTGGGTAGAGCGGCAAGGCTGGAGGAGGAGGGCTGGCACTGCCCGAGGTGAGGCTAGGTTTAGGGGAAGTTGGGGGGGCTGGGGTTGCTGGTGCCACAGAGCTCACAGGGGCTGACACGAACATCTGGTCCGCAGAGATGGGCTTCACAAGCAGCTGGGAGCACTGCATGACGAGCCCCTTGCTCTTGTGGTCACGCGCGTGCCGGAGCAGGCTGCACTTGTTGAAGAAGAGCAGCGTCTTGGAGCACAGTGTGCACAGCACCTCAATGTGGACACTCCGCCGGCCGTAGTGCTGGCTCAGGCTCTTCTCTAAGGCAAATGCATCGCCACACTCCAGGCAGCAGTACCCACTGGCCGGCACGTGGATCCTGCTGTCCGCAGGGGGGCTGAGGTTTGGTGCATAGAGGGGCACAGGATTGGCGCTGTGGAGGACCTTGTTGAAGACCTCCACAATCAGCGGGGCAGCCTTCTTCACCTGGTGGACAAGGGGCACTGACATCTGCGTGAGCTGGGCCTGGCTTCGCCTCTGGGCTGAGGACTTGGCCGTCACAGATGCAGCCACACTGTGGGGGACCAAGTTCAGGTTGGCCAGGTGGACGGCTTTGGGCAGAAGGTTTGCAGGGGCCTGGCTGGAGGCTTGCAGTGCTGAGCTCTGCTGCTGCTTCTTGGCCATCTGGGAGCCCAGGGCAGTGCCCTTTGGAGCCCGGGAACCAGAACTACCGCACAGTGACGAAGACTCGTTGGCCTTGGCCATGTTCTCGTCCCCGTTCCTGTCACCCTGGGGACTCCCCACACTTGTGATCACCTCAGAAAAGTGCCCCTCTGCAGGCAGGGCAGTGCCCTCCTCCCCTGGTACTTCACTGGGGGCCTCGGCACTGGCACTCCCAAGAGGTGACCCGACAGGGGACTTATTCGGATCATCAGGGTCTGGCAGGATCCTTGTAACAGTCCGTTTGATTTCCCCTGACGATGTCTTAATGGTTTTGATTCTGACTTTGGGAATTGCTGGTGGGGAACTGGCAGCCACAGAAGGGGAGCCTTTGCTGCTGCTGTCACTGCAGATGCTCCGAGGGCTGTCTGATGGCTTGATATTTTTTCTAGTGGCCTCCAGAGGGCTCCGGGGACTCTTTGGTGACTTGGGCATTTTGGGGCTGCCTTTAGAACCCTCTTTAATGGGCCCTGAGGGATCCTTTGTGTGACCAGCCTGCTCCTCCTTGGTGACACTGGCCACTCTTTTGGCCTGGAGGGCTACCAGGGCTGCAACACAAGAAGACAGTTTGGAGTGAGCTGGCTTAAGACGCTGCCGAGGGGGGACTGACGAGTAGGTGCCAAGCTCCTGGGCAAGCCCCTTGGGCTCTCCAATACTGTTGCTGGGGTGGCTGTTGAATTCCAAAGCTACCCCAAAGAAGTGACTGGCATCTAACTCTTTGTGAGGATCCACTGTCTTCTGTCCCCCACTTTGCTCATGCTCCTGCTGGCCCCCCAAGGGCAAAGGTTCTGGCTTCGGCTCTTTCTTACCAAAGTGATCAAACATATTCAGCTCTGGGACTGGAAACTTACCCAAAGCTTCTAGGTCTGGGCCACCCACAGGCCCACACCCAGGAGGGGGTGGGAAATAGCCATCAGAGTGCTTGGGTTTCATCCCAAATCCATTGTCTTTGATGGCATCTTCTGGTTCTGGGCTGGAGATTGGGCTGAACTGATTAAAGGTTGGTAATGGCTCTGACTTGGGTGTTTCCAGCTTGCCAGGAAAATTCCTAGCACTGTCTCCATTCATGAAAGTGGAATTGAACTTCCCACAGTTATGACCCAGGCTGTGGGGATCCTGAGGCAGGTCTGGACCCCGGAATCCATTGTGTAGAAGGCTGGGCGTGATGTGGTCTTTCTCGGCTTCAAATGATTCCTGGCGGCTGGTGTTCTTGACAATGACACTCACGGCCGGTACATCTGGGGCTGATCCTGAGTGAGCTAAGGACACATTCTCATCCATACACATGCCTGAAGGTTTGAGGGGACTCTCATTCTCCTCAGTAGGGGTCTGAATAGCCTCCTTGGCATCTAGGCTGGTGGGGTCTGGGATGTCAAAGGCAGCCAACAGGTCATCAAAATCTGGGGTTTTCATGTCCCCCATGGCTGGATGCTGGCGAAGGCTATGAGAGAAACAGAACAGAAATTAGCAAGCACTCAGGTCTCACCAGACTCAGTCCAGCTTCATCTTCCTCACATATCTATCACCCTAACAGACATGCAGCCTACACACCCATGCAGAACCCCAGCAGTAGGGCAGATCACACACCTAACAAGAGTGACTTCAAGTTCTAAAATGTGGGAGGGAGGCAGGAGGATGCTGCTGTCACTCAGTGACAAGACTGCCCAGTAGGTTGAACCTCTATACCTGGGAATTCCTAAACCTCAACACCTGGAAAAAGACATCACATTCCTGCCATGCTCAGGAGAAATCGTCAATCCACAGTCAAGTACACAAGCAAAATGCCAGTCAGTCTTTTAAAGATATGTATGGTTCAGTAATTCCTGCCTTTAGAAAATTCCTAATTCATGTACACAATTGTCTTTGCTAATTTTATCTTTGTAATTACCTAATGGTTTTGTTAACTATGTACTTTTGCTATGCTCATTCAATCCAATTAAAAATTATTTGTTAGTGCCAGGATTTGTGCTAAACAATCTTATAAATAAACTCTAGAAGATTCTATCACCCCTTAGGTATGTCTTACTCAAGCCTTTGCTTTTTCACCCTACGGCTGTCATCCACAGGGAAATGGGCCATTAGATAGATCTAAGGGAAAAGGCGATTCTCAAGGTACTGCATGGTTATCAAATCAGCCAGGGGACAGTCTGAGAAAAGCTTTAAGTTCTAGTTTAACATACTACACAAAGAAAAGAAAATCCACTTGGTTCCTTCATGATCTAAGGAAGGGAACACAGTTAAATAACCGAGGAGGAAAATACACGTAAGACCTTAGGAAAGAGGACTTCCACTAAGAGATATCACTCACACTTACAGGAAACATGAATCCTGATGGCTCGAACCTGCTAGAGGGAAAGGGGCAATCTACCACCTTCCTCATTTGGCCCTAAATCCTGCATCTGCGTCAGCATCCTGGGTCCATCCTGGCTTACACACTTCTTATACCACAGTGATAATGACATATTTCTAGATGCAGACTGGTACAACACCTTTAGAAAGGAGCACAGCCGCTTCACAGAACCAGATAAATGAGAGATTTCTGAGTCCTAAAGCTTCACTTCCAGAATAAAAAATTCTTAAAAAGCTGTATGCAAAATTTTATATTGCACCGCTGTTCAAACAGCACAAAAGAGATATAGAAAAGTAATTAAATGCCCTATGATAGAGAACAGACACACAATTGATAAGCTATTATGAGGTCATTAAAAGTTCTAACAATTCATTGCTACCACGGTAGCAACATGTAAAATTACTAATTGTGTTAAGTCTAAAAAAGTTGATAGAAAAATATTCATAGACTGTAACAATAAAAACTCAATATGCATTTGAGGTAAAATGAAAGAAACTTAATAATAATTATGTAAGGTGGTGAGATTATTGGTGGGTTACTTTTTCAAAAGCATTATGTGCAAACAGATTGTATTTATAATTTTATAAGGGAAAGACACTAAGAACCATGAGAGGAGCAGGTGACATGGTGAAGATGTATCTGTTACCTCCCCAGGGGATCAGGAGGTTGGCAGGTCTGATTTCTCACACATACCCTCAACCTCAACAAAACACAAACTTCATAGAAAATAAAAAAATACAACCTCCACTGGGAACTAACTTAATTAGGGTAGGTAGTAACAAAGAGGAATGCCAATTATATAAACATAGGTGGCAGAATGCCACCTCATTGGAATGAAAGGTGAAGTTTTAAAGCAAAAAACTGAATTATTGTTTCCTAAAATGACAAGTTTTGGAACCCAAAAATAAAGGCATGGATATTAATTTCTTAACACTAAGTTAATCACAACTGCTAAGGAAGTATTTGCATATCTGTTCTGTAAGCTTATTTCCACTTATTTTTTTAAGTTCTGTAGGGGATAAAAGAGATTGATGGAGAAGTACAGAATGCACTGGTCCTTTAAGGAGCTAGGAGAAGCACATTTGTGGAGACGGGTAGGGATAGATGGTGGCATATGTGAAGAGCATCTATTGTCTAACACGAAGTTAGAGAAGCTTGGAGCAGAGATACTCCATCTAGAAAGTAATGTTCTCCACACCAAAGAAATATCAGACTGACTGTGAATGATCAAAGGCAAGGCACGGTGCCTTTTTTTTTTTTTTGCACGGTGTCTTTTGCTAAGAAAATCAGAACTCATAAATGGGATGGCACCTCACCATTAGCCACAACAACAACAAAAATCTTGGTAATTTAATTTTTTTCTTTTTAACCAAAGATGAAGCTTTAATATCAAAGATATTTTTTTAAAAAAAACCAAAAACCAACAAACAAAAAAACCCACCAAAGATCAAGTCCTGTCTTATAGCATGGAAAACCAGAGCAGTATCAATTGATAATAGTGAATAAGGGATTAACCTTGAATCTATGTGTCTGCATTTAAGACTTGTTTTAAACTGAGTATCACATTTTTTATAAGCAGAAAAGGGAAGTTTTCAAAAAGCCTTACACATTACAAAAGCAAAAAATGAACCATATAAAAAAGGTAATAGATAAAAAGTTCTAATAAGCAGTACATAATGATACATTTGACAAGGGACTCATCTCAAAAATGTAAAGAAAACTCCAATCCCTCAACAAGATAAACAATCCAATTGCAAAATGGACAGATGACATGAATATACACTTCAACAAAGAAGATATGAAAATGCCAACAAACATATGAAGAATGTTCTAATTAGCTATTAGAAATGCAAATCAAAATAATAATGAGATATCTTTTCAACCAGGCTATAAAACCAAAGTTCAACAAGACAGCAAATAATAAATGCTAACGAGGGTGACAGACTGGAAATCTCACACACAATCGGTGAACTAAAAAATGGTACAACCACTATGGAAAAGTGTTTTATCACTTCCTTAGAAAGTTGGTAATAAAACACCATTTGATTTAGCAATTTCATTACTATGTATAGATCCCAAAGAAATAAGAGCAGTGATATAAGCTAACATACATGTGCCCATGCACGTATGCAGCATTGTTTACAATAGCAAAGAGTTGGAAACAACTCAAGGGTCCATCAATGGAGAATAACTGGGGAGAAAAACCCAACAAAACCAATGGCACATTTAGGTAACAAGTTGTTATACATCTCTAAAAAATAATGAATTCATGAAATGATGCAAAACCTGGGTGAATCTAGAACAAGTTATGCTGAGTGACATAAGTCGGTCACATCAAGACAACTAGGGTGTTACGACTACTCTTGTAAAATGCTAAGGAAAGGTTTCCTAGTCTTCTGAATCTGGGAGCTCCACTACAACCTGTCCCCCACATATGATCTCTCTGGCATTTGACACATCAGTGGCACAGCTTCTGGCATCAAGGCAACCCAAGGTCCTGGGAATTGACGGGATATCAATTGAAATGCTACAAAAACAGATGCAGCCCTGGACATGATCACCAGTCAATGCCAGGGAATGTGGAGGACAGTTACCTGGCCGAATGACTGGAAGAGATCCATCCATGGTTGTTCTCACCTTCAAGAAAGGTGATCCAACAGAATGTAGAAATTATCAAATAAAATCATTAGTATCACATGTAAGCAAAATACTGGTGATGGTCATTCAAAAACAGCTAGACCAGTACATAGATCAAGAATTACCCTACATTCAGCTGGATTTCGAGGACGCTGTGGCTCTAGGGATATCAATGCTGATATCAGATGGATCCAAGTAGAAACCAAAGAATATCAGAAGAATGTCTATTTGTGTTTTGTCGACTATGTGAAGTCATTTGACTGCATGTATCATAACAAATTATGGCTGACACTGAGAAGACCAGGAATTTCAGAACACTTGATTGTGTTCTCATGAAACCTATACCTAGACTAAGAGGCTCTTGTGCAAACAGAGCAAGGGAACACTTAATAGTTTTAAATTAGGAAAGGTGTGCATCAGGGTTGTATCTTTTCTCCATACCTCTTTAATCTGTATGTTGAACAGATTATTTGAGAAGCTGGACTCTATGAAGAAAAATGTGGCATTAGAATAGGAGGAAACTAATCAATAACCCGTGTAACGCAGATGATGCAACTTTGCTTGCTGAAAGTGATGAATTAAGACATTAACGCTTCTGTTATTCTCCATACGCATGGCAAGTGATTGAAAAGTCATTGTCCAGCTCTCAGATGCATAGCAATTGAAAAGACCATGGCTTAAGCTTCATCTTACATATTTTGAGTGTGTTTTAGGAAAGGTTATTCCTTGGAGAGAAACATCATGCTTAGGAAGGTGGAGGGATGACAAAGGAGAGGAAGACCTTCAACAAGGTGGGCTGACAGTCACTTTAACAATGGGCTTGAGTACCCCAGAGATTGTGAGGATGATACAAGACAGTACAGGATTCTGTCATTCACAGGGTCACTATGAGTCGGACTCGACTCGACAGCATCTAACAACAACGACGACAAGAAGGAAAGGTTTACACACAGATAAAATTACTCTGGGAGAGATAGTAAGTATGGGAAAGGAAGAAGAAGAAGAAGAGAGTAAAAATTAATAAAAAAGTTGGGTGACGTGAAAGGCAATTTGACACAGTAAGAGACTGACCAGATAGTATAATTAACTGCATTATTAACTGTTAATACTTAATCATTATTTATACTTAATGTTATAAACAAAATGTCTGAATGATTAATATATGAAAACCAGTATGATTTATAAACTTTCACTCAATAAATTATTATTATATTCTAATAATACAAAGTTAAAAGGAAAGCAATGGATCAAAAGGTGTAACTTCAAAATAACATAGCTACTATGATGAATATTTTCATTTATACAAAAGCTTTACAAAGCAATAAATAAATGACGAGCAATCTATTAGGAAAATGAGCAAGCAGGTAGTATAAAAGAAAAACACAAATGAACATTTAGTACAAGAAGAAAGCTACAACGTCAGAAGACAATGGGAAAA